TGTAGGAGTATTAAATGTCCCTTTGACGTGACAAATGTGTTGTGCTCCATTTCATGTTCTTCAGGGGTACAAGTTCTCTAACCTTTCAGTGTCTCTAATTCCTCGGGGTCATCTCTTTACCCAGATGTGTTGTTCCTCCCCTGCGAGCGCTCAACCCCGTCATGACGTTTGGACGGTGCTACCTGAAGGTCCCTTACTGGAAGATGTTGAAGCTTGTGAATGACAGCGACTTTCCTGGCTGCTACAGGGTTCTTCCTCAGGTTGGGCATCGCATCCACCTCCTCCTCTCAAATGTTATCCAGTTGTTTATGAGGGGAAAAAAGGGGTTTGCGTAAGACCTTGCCAGTTTCTATTCAAACCTAAAGGTTCGCTTAGAACAGGAACCTGCCTGAATACAAACTTCAGGAAGCTGTTTAACCTCTTAGGGAAGCAGTTTATATTCTAGTCTTTGAGGTGTTTTAATGTAGGAGAGTTTAGAGGGTTGTGAAAAGCTGCTGCAAGGGGGCTGCCAGCACAGGAGTGGGTGTCTGTGAATGCAGCAGCTTTTGGACCCCCTGAGGATGCTAAACCCCTACAAGTCCTTCATCTTGTTCTGTGCCTTTCTGCTTTCTCCTGGGGATTTTTAGAAGTGTGTGTGAGTTGCCGTCGTGGTAGATGTCAAGGAGTTTAAAGTTTCCTCCCTCTGAAGTTGTGTTTGATTCTGTCCCTTCTAGGAACACAAGGAGGAGGATGCTGTGTGGTACTTCACCCCTCAGCCATGTGGGACTATCAAGGCTCACAGCTCAGTGGAGATCCCATTTATACTTAAAACCCAAGTGCTGGGAGAGCATGACACCATTGCTGATGTCGTCGTGTTTGGGAGTGAAGATTCCCCACTGGTGAGTGTGAGGAGAGATGTGAGCCTGTGTGTGACTCATCCTGATGGAGTGTAAAATGTACAGGGATTCTTCCAGGAAAAACAGGAGCTTGTGATATATGGCTGGTGTGGACAGGAAAGAAGGGATTGGCGTCATAGGCAGCATCTTATGCCTAGAAAAGAGGAAGTATAGAATCCTTGTAGGTGGTAATCTCAGTGCCTGACCCAACATATAGTGGGAAACGGGATAACAAGCCCAGTCTGAACCCCAGACCAATCTGTGGGTCTCATATTCTGCTGGGAGGGTAGTTTGGGGCAAGATGGAGCAGTGAAAGGAGTGGAAGCAGGCAGGGGGTAGAGGAAGGAGAGATAGTGTGGAGGAGGTGTGAAGAAGCAAGAATGGGAAACAGCATTTCTCTGTTTCCTGATAATGGGAACTTGTGGCTTTCAGATGGGATCACTGCATATCCCACGCTTGCTCCAGGCCTTCTGTTTCAGTCTACAGCACTGAAAACTTCAAACAGCCAGAATTATCCCCAGCCTAGGAGTGCCCTTATTGCTGTCTAAGCTTTTCAAACTTTCCCTGATGTGTCCTTTTTTTTGATCTTTCCTACCTTCTTCCTGGACCAGAAAATCCATTTAGAAAGCACTGGACAGGGACCAGTTGTCTATGTATATCCAACTGAGATAAACCTGGGCACTATCCCGGTCGTAGAAGATATTTCCCAACCTCTCCACCTCTCCAATCAGAGCATCATCCCTGCAGTCTTCTGGGCAGAGATGGTAAGTATTTCTGGGGCTGTTTTCCAGTGAAAATGGACTGCTCAGTAGCAGCCTATGACTTGTTTTTTTATATTCAATGTTCCCATGCCTCTCTGTGCAAGATATTCCATCCAAGTGCAGCAAGAGGAACCTGGCTCTGGGGGTGGTTTTATCTGGGACAACCCTCAGTGAAATACACACATATACTGCAGTTTTCTTTCTGCTTACTGCTTTGCTGCCCTGCTGTAGCCATGCAGAGCCGACTTTTCCAAAGCAGAGGGCACTGGGACACCTCCCTGCAGCTGATGATCAATGGGAAAAATGGGCTTCAGTCCTTCAGGGGCTGTTGAGAAGCACTGAGAGCCTCCTGGGAAAGAAGACTTTAGTGTTGGGGTTTT